AGCCAAGCTCAATCATTAAATCTCTATGACTCTACCACTGGGCAAGTCTCCTCACAGGCCCACCAGTTTGGGACTTTGGATACCCCCAAATCCATGACAGGCGTCCTATGTGCAGGCCTCAAGCCCAAAGGTATTGGAGTTTGGATGCCCCCTAGTCACACTTTGTCCTAGCCAAAAAGCCAAAGGAGCAAGCCAGGGGGAAAGCGCAAATGCAGTCCCCATTCACAAAATTGTGCAGTCAAGTTTCCTGCATTTGGGAAACTCTCAGGGGTCCACCTGCCTGGAGTGCAATGGACAGCCCTCATCCTGGGAAAAGCTGTTGATCATCTTATCTTCCATGCACAACCTCTCCCCAGACATGTGGATGGGAACCTACCACAAGCATTGGTGGGGTTTGGGGTTTTTTTGGAATTTTTTTTCATATTCCTGGTCAAATTAGCCAAATCAGTTCTGAATCCTCTCACTGAAAAATGCAAGGTACTCCACCTTGGGGAATACCCCCCGCCCCCTGCAGCACGCTTATAGGCTTGGCAGTGCTGCGCTTGCTAGCACTGTGGCTGAAAGGGACTTGGGGGTCATGATTGACCACAAAATGAATATGAGCCACCAATGTGATGTCGCAAATCCCAGGATGTCATCCTCCCACTGTACTTGGCCTTGGTGAGGCCACAGCTGGAGAACTGCATCCAATTCTGGGCTCCACAATTTAAAAAGGATGTGGAAAAACTTGAGAGTCCAGAGGAAAGCTACGTGTATGATCAGAGGGCAGGAGAACAGGCCCTATGATGAGAGGCTGAGAGCCATGGGACTCTTCAGCCTGGAAAAACACGGGCTCGGGGGGACCTGGTGGATGCCTATAACTATATAAGGGTGTACATCAGGATCTGGGGGAACACCTGTTTACCAGAGCATCCCAAGGGATGACAAGGTCCAATGGTCACAAACTCCTCCAAGACTGTTTCAGGCTGGACATAAGGAAAAACTTCTTTACCATCCAAGCCCCCAAGGCCTGGAATAAACTCCTTCCAGAGGTGGTACAAGCACCTACTCTGGACTCTCTTAAAAAACATTTGGGTGTCTATCTTGCTGGGATCATTTAGCTCTAGCTGAATTCCTGCCCCTGGGGCAGGGGGCTGGACTTGATGATCCTCCGAGGTCTCTTCCAGCCTTAATGTCCATGAAATCTATAAAACTGAGCAACACTCGATTGTTCAAACACCATATGTGATGCTGCAACTGGCAAGTATCCTCCACCCCAGGCTTTTCAGTCTGGGGCTTCAGATACTCCCAAATCCATTGGTGGGCATCCTACATCCAGGCCCAAGCCCAGAGGCTTGGGATTCAAATACCCCCATGTCTTACAACAAGAATAACTTATGGCACCCCATCTAAATAAGACATATAGCAGTACCTATTGCATCCAGTCCCCCTTAGCTCTGACTGTTTTTAACCTCATGGTAAGCCATATTGAGTACATTTTGACTTCTTCACTCCCACAGGCAAGCTGCACCTTTCTTTCCCATTTCCAATTATTCCTGTTTCTTCACCAGCCTTAAATGTCTAGCAAACATCACCAAATCAGGCCCCAAGAACCTCTCTTTTGCCCACTCTCTCAGCCTATGATTAATGTGACCCCACCCTCCATGAGGTGGAGCCAGCCCAGGTTGCCCTGCACCTCACCTGCATATAACATTTTGGAGGATCCCAGGACTCCTGATAGGAACACCAGGTTCCAGTCATGAGTGGGGAGCTAATTAGCACATGGATCCTTTGTGGGAGGTATCTGGAGTACACACATCCTGAGCAGTGCTGAGCTGTGCGCTTGTCATGGCTTAAAATGTTTTTGACTCTGCTGAGGCCTAGCCCAATGAACTATATGGTAAAGCATGAGCCTTTTGGCTTTGAACTAATATACTTTATATTTTATATAAGTAGACACAAAAGTGCTTCTTAAAATTATGTTTATGGAGTACTTGTGTTAAACCTTGCAGTAGTTTCAAAAAAGATAAACTGCATCAATTTTGGATGAACTAAGTCTATGGGTACCTAATGTTTATTTCAAGGTCAGTATTTTCAAATTTGCCGCTCACTTCTATGTGCTCAGGGAAAGCAAGGTCTGAAACTAAGTAGGGGGAGAGGCTGCAGGGGAAATAAAGTGGGAGTGGGGGCACGTGACCCCCTTGCTCAACATGCTGTGAAGGGGCTGGCTGGGGCACAAGGGTGCTTCAGCATGGAGCTAGCCAGCAGGCAACCCCTGCACTAAAGCACCCTCATGCCCCAGCCAGTCAGGGCAGTGTCTTCTTGTGCACTGTTGCAGGTATTTTTATTCTGCAGCAGGATAATCCTTGTAAATACAGGTATAAATTAGTTTACTCCAGCCTAATAAGGGCACATGTATAGATACTGAGACATTTGGTGTGCAGCTAATTAGTCTACTGCTCAATAGATGTCTCATGTAGGCGTGCCCAGTGAGTAGTCATCAATGGCTCAATGTCTAGTTGAAAGGAGGTGTTGAGTGGCTGCATCTACACGAGATGCTGACTACGCAGTCGCTATTGTGCAGTCATTTAGTACTTGTATAAGCAAGAACCAGCAGCATACCAAACTATGAAACTATGACTTTGCAGCAACCTGAGTTACTGTGCAGTAGCACCAACAAATGTCTTTTTTGTGATGCTACTGTGCAATAGACTGATACTACTGTGCAGTAGCGTCACATCATGGTTGTTGCCATGCAAAGCTACTGTGGAGTACTGTCAGGCTACTGCGCAGTCAGAATCTTCTGTAGACAGAGCCAGTAGGGTTCCCCAAGAGTCTGTCCTGGGTCCGGTATTGTTTAATATCATCATTAATGATTTGGACAATGGGACTGAATCTACACTTAGAAATTTGCAAATGACACCAAGTTGGGTGGACTTGCAGATACTATAGAGGGTAGGACTAGGATCCAGAATGACCTGGATAGACTAGAAAAATGGTCTGCAATCACCTGAATGAAATTTCACAAGGACAAATGCAAAATCCTGCACTTGAGATAGAATAATTGCATCCACAAATGCAGCCTTGGGAAAGACTGGCTAGAAAGAAATACTGGAGAAGGACCTTGTGTTTACAGTAGACCATAAGATGAATATATGCCAACAGTGTGCTCATATTGCAAAAAAATAGGCCAACAGTATACAAGGGTGTATTAACAGGTGTGCCATTTGCAAATCAAGGGAAGTGATTCTTCCTCTCTATTCAGTGCTGGTGAGGCCTCACCTGGAGTACTGTGTCTAGTTTTGGGCCTCACACTTCAAGAAGATGTGAACAAATTGGAAAAAGTCCAGAAGAAAATAACAAAAATGACTAGCGCCTTGGGAAGCATGACCTATAAGAAAAGGCTAAAAGTTCTAAGGTTATTTAGTTTGGAGAAGAGAAGTCTGAGGGGGGAATTTGATAAAAGTCTTCAAATACCTGAAAGGTAATTATAGAGAAGATGAAGATGGGTTTTTCTCTGTGGCTATTGTGGAAGAAACACGCTTCAACTTGTGTTTGGTTTTGAAGTTGTCAGAGACTCTTTATTTAACAGCAGCTGCTGGGGAGGACACCAAGCCTCTCCTCCGCAGAGAGTTGAACCAAGCTTTTAAAAGTTTCCATAACAAATCACATGATGCAAGATATGACAAGTGGAAAAACACTGGTTTGAACAAGAAAGTTCCAGGAGGGCATAAACTGTGGCCTGACCTTTTGACCCTTTGACCTACTTAGCATTGTGGAAATCTTACAGTGCACCTTAAGACAACATGGAGGTCTGGGGTTTTCTTCTCAACATGGAGGCCTAGGGTTCTTCTTCCTCCACATTCCCCCCTTTTGTACTTATAGTACAACAGACAAGATTTTGTAACCAGGAATTGGGCAACAGACTGCGAGTGAACTCATGGAAGAACAGTTTGACTTATGAGGCAGAGTGAGACTTGTTCTTAGAGTATCTTCCAGTGCTCCCTTCAGAACAACTGTGAGACTAACTCAATTGACCGTCATCATGTTAAACATATCTGTTGCGTCTTTTGCGGGATGCACTAAGGTTACAATTGCGTAGCAACAAAAAGAGTACCTGTAGAAAAAGAATAAACCCCAGGACCATGATTGCAATATAAAATAATTGGTCCCCAAGTCCGCGAAACCAGTCCCAAAGACTCCATTGATTGGTTTGGTGCAGTGTAGCAGTTTCTTTTTCAATAATTTCGGCCTGGTTCTCAATAGCACTGGAAGCATCTGGTATATAAACACAACATTCTGTTTTTATCAGAGCACACACATCTCCTTTGCTAGCTAATATATAATCTAAGGCAAGTCGGCTTTGTAGAGTCATTTGTCTCATTTCTTTCATTTCTTTACTTATTTCATGGAAACCAATGGCAGTAGCATTAGCTATTTTCTGTAGGGATACTGCAATTTTTCTTATTTCGGACATAGGTAAGACGTGGACGTGACATCCATTGTGAATAGTAACCTGAAAATCCAACTGAATTGGGAGAGTAATTGGGTATCCAAGAACCGTTAGAGAGCCAAGCACCATTTACCTTAAATTCTACTTCACACTTACTGATTCCTACTGCAATACTAGATCTATTACAAGTCCAACAAAACTTTCCAGGGGTGGCATACGCTAGTCGTACATAGTCAGCTCAGCTACAGTTTATATCTTGCCAGGTTTCATTTCTTTGGAAATCTGAATAATAAGAAGCTGACATTTGGGTCGCATTCAAGGGTACCGGTATCATGGGTATCCCTCCAGTGGAATGGATAGGGACGTGATTACATATCCAACAATGAGAGACATTTAAGTCTATCCTAATTTGGTTAACTAAAAAGAAAAACACATTCCCACATGCCAGGTTTAAAAGTTCAATACAAACAGTCAATAGGAGGGATTCCATATTTGGTTATTAATGGGGTCTTTTCTTGGAGTCTTAATCTTTAATCCTTGGTTTCGTCAGGGGGAACAGTCTTTTTGCAGTGCAATGCGTGGATCCAAGTAGATAGTCCCCAACACTTACTGCAGTGTTAGTGGTGAGAAGAACCTGGAACGGACCTATCCAGTGGGGTTCTAAAGCTGAATTTCTTTGGTGGATTTTTACATGAACCCAATTTCCTGGCTGCAAGGAATGGCAGGCTTCTTCAGGCTCTCTGGGTAAAACTTCTGGGACCTGTGAACAAAAGGCCTTAAGGACTCCTTGGCTGGATGCCCTCCACCCTGCAGTCTGCCTGTACAGCAAGAAGCTGTGGCGACCAAGTTGGTTGGTCACGGTCTGGGCCGACACAATCGAGCAGGTGGGGGCTAGCGGCGGAGAGTCAGGCGGCTTATATTCGTATGGTTGCAAGAAAAATTTTATTAACTTACGCTACCAAGGTTCAACGCGTAACATAGATAGTTCAACTTGCGTAGTTACAGATTCGGGTTCAGACGACAGCTGCAAGTATTAACTTCGAAAGCTATAGATGAGTCGTTCGAGCATGCAGGGTGGGATACGTCGGGAGATAGCGGTGGTGGAGAAACAATCACAAATGGCCAGTTTGTGAGGCAGCTCTGGGCTCGCGTGAGCCGGGTTCTGATGAGAGCTGGTTTCTGCCTTGGGCAGAAATTACAGTGGCTTATATATGTCGTGGTTAGCCAGTTGCAATGTGAGTTGCATGGAACATTCTGGCTGATCATGCATTGGCCATGTGCTTTGGGCATAACTGAGCATGTGTAACTCAGGGGGATTGACAGTTGGGAATTTCCATTTGGCAGCCTGGACTTTCCATCTATTGCTTTCTTACTTCAGCTTCTAGCTCAGTGTCATCAGCACCCATTCTTAGTTTTGGCTGGGACAGAAGCCAGCTGGATGAATGGTTGTACAACATAGAACCAGTACGGTTTTCAACTGCTTTATCTAAACTGTTTTAACTTCCACCAGTTCATCTGAACATTTGTACTCACCCTCTGTGTCATTAACTGGGATGTAACCTTCCACAGCCAAAAAGAGCACAATTTACTTAAGGGGAAAAAAGTGCAAAAAACTGCTGGAGACTGGATACATTCCTTCTCACACATTATAGTAAAGTAGAGGTCAGAAAATAACCCCATATAGCTTACTGTCTTATATGCATTATTATGATTATTATCTTCATTATAAAAATAACCACTACCCTGAATTCATATACTTAATGGAGAGAGGTGCCTTCTGATTTACTTTGTGGCCAGTGAAAAGGCTATTCATGGTTTCAGCACCCAGGTAGTCTCTGTACTTTGCATACTATCACTTCCACACACAACTTTTAGGATTTGAATTGTGGGTTTTCTCAACATGACAACAAGCAGCAGTAAGTAGATCTTGGTCTTAATATGGAAGCCTATTGTGCTGAACAGAATGGATGGTTTCATAGTACCAAGTAC